GTGTGAATGCTGAATCATTGTTCTATGAATTCTGACTCATCATTGTGTGACTGCTGACTCATGGTTTTGTCAAAGCTGACTCATTTTGTGAATTCTGACTCAGCTTTCTGAATGCTGACTCATCTTTGTGAATGCTGACTCATAGTTGTGTGAATGCTGAATCATGGTTTGTGAATGATGAGTCATAGTTGTGTGAATGCTGAATCATGGTTTGTGAATGCTGACTCATTTTTGTGTGAATGCTGACTCATAGTTGTGTGAATGTTGACTCGTGTGAATGCTGACTCATGGTTTGTGACTCGTGTGGTTCCAGACCTCCCAGCACAGCAGGTGCTGAGGATCCGAACCTGCAGCTGGACCGTAAGGGGGACAGCACCAATCTAACTGGGCCAGCACCAGGGGGGGTCATGGAAAGCAGCTGTACCTTCAAACCTCGACAGTCCTCAGTTCGTAGCTTAGGTAGGAGCTGAAGCTTCATGCTGAATAAAACATTAATTTATTTTTGTGTTAATTTAAAATCATAAAATCATGTTTTCAGGTTGTGTTTCTGCAGGAGAGAGTCCAGACGACGCGTTCCGCTCCGGTCAYATCCGCAGCTCCAGTTACGCCAGTCAGCACAGCAAGATCTCAGGTCAGAGACGCCCTCCTGCAGCTTTAGGCTCCGCCCCCTGAAGGCCTCACAGGTTCTGTCCTCTGCAGGGTACAGCACGGGTCACTCTCGCTGCTCCAGCCTCAGTGACCTCAGTCATCACAGAAACACCTCCTCCAGCAGCAGTGCTTCCTGTGGCCCCACCCACTTCTCCCAGCCGCCTCCCTCCACTCCCACAGAGCCGCATCAACAGGCCACGCCCACCAAGCCGGAGAGACCTCCTCCCCCTTCTGCAGCAGCGCTCCGATCCTCCAGGTGTGTGTGTGCACACCGGAGCAGCTGCGTGTTCTGACACCGAAACGTGTGGAAAGCACACACGTAAAAGTCAGATTGGTTCTTTGTCAGAGCTGACTTTCAGCTTCTTCAGCTGTTTATGAACCAAAACATTCGGCTCGTTTAGCTGGGAACTTTACTTTTTAAAACGTATTTAACTTTTTTCTCGTAAAATTCATTTGAGATTTTTTCAAACTGAATGCTGACTCATAGTCGTGTGAATGCTGACTCATGGTTTGTGAATGCTGACTCATAGTTGTGCAAATGCTGACTCATGGTTTGTGAATGCTGAGTCATAGTTGCGCAAATGCTAACTCGTGTGAATACTGATTCATAGTTGTCTGAATGCTAACTCATGTGAATGCTGACTCATGGTTTGTGAATGCTGACTCATAGTTGTGTGAATGCTGACTCATGGTTTGTGAATGCTGACTCATAGTTGTGTGAATGCTGACTCATGGTTTGTGAATGCTGAGTCATAGTTGTGCGAATGCTAACTCGTGTGAATGCTGACTCATGGTTTGAATGCTGACTCATGGTTGTGTGAATGCTGACTCATAGTTGTGTGAATGCTGACTCATAGTTGTGTGAATGCTGACTCATAGTTGTGTGAATGCTGACTCGTGTGAATGCTGAATCATGGTGTGTGAATGCTGACTCATTGTTGTGTGAATGCTGAATCATGGTTTTGTCAATGCTGACTCATAGTTGTGTGAATGCTGACTCATAATGCTGACTCATTGTGTGAATGCTGACTCATTGTGTGAATGCTGACTCATAGTTGTGTGAATGCTGACTCATTGTTGTGTGAATGCTGAGTCATGGTGTGTGAATGCTGAATCATGGTTTTGTCAATGCTGACTTATTGTTGTGTGAATGCTGACTCATAGTTGTGTGAATGCTGACTTGTGTTTATGAATCAAAACTTTCGGCTCATTTAGCTGGGAACTTTGCTCTTTAAAACTTATTTTACTTTTTTTCTCATAAAATGCCTTTGAGATTTTTTCAAACTCCTGAAAGAATTTGTTTTAGTTGTTTTAGCTGCTGTTTTAGCCTGTTTAGCTACGGTTGTGATAGTTTTAGCTTTTAGCTACTCTTCTGATAGGTTTACCTTTAAGCTGTAGTTCTTCTGGTTTTAGCTACTGCTCTTCTTAAAATAGTTACAGTTTCTTCTGCAGATTTTAGCTGTCCTTCAGCTCATCATTAGCAAAAGATGCTAATTTTAGTGTTTTAATTTGTTCTCAGAAGCTTTTCACTAAACATCCTTCCAACAGAACGTGCTGTTTGTGGTCAGAACCCTGATGTGTGGTTCTGGTTCTGGTCCCGGCTGCAGGAGGAAGAAGCTGGGCGTGGAGCGGCAGCGCAGCTGCGTGGACGACACGCGCATCGACGCCGGCGACATCGTGGAGAAGATCATCCAGAGCCAGAACTTCTCAGACAGCAGCAGTGATGAAGGTCCGGTTCTGCTCAGTGACTTTCTTTAATGAGTTTTTACAGACAGAACCTGCAGTCGGACCAGAACCGCTCTTTAGATTCAGGATGTTCTGAACCTGTTTGACTGGTTTGTCTGCAGACAGTCACCTGAGATTATTTGTGAGTAAAGATGGAACCACGGCTCTCAGCAGGACTCAGGTCTCCAGCAGGTACTTCATCTGAAACTGGACCAGTTTTAGTTTTTGTCTAATCGGGTCCTGGTTTCATGGTTCTGTTTCCTTCCACTAGAAGTCCTGGTTCCTTTGAGCCTGTTGTCATCGAGACTCACTGAGAACTGGATCTTCATCTGGACTCTTTGAGAACTGGATCTTCATCTGGACTCGCTGAGAACTGGATCTTCATCTGGACTCWCTGAGAACTGGATCTTCATCTGGACTCTCTGAGAACCAAGTCTTCATCTGCATGGTGTGGTATGAGGGCCAAGATTAAGACTTTTGCGCAACCAGTGGTTGCTACATCCTTGTAGCAGGAGGACTGGAGAGGCTAGTGATTAGCATGTATAACCAGCTTATCCATGCTAGTTGCTAGCCTCTCTGATGCTAATGTCAGCTTATCCATGCTAGTTGCTAGCCTCTCTGATGCTAATGCCAGCTTATCCATGCTAGTTGCTAGCCTCTTTGATGCTAATGCCAGCTTATCTATGCTAGTTGCTAGCCTCTCTGATGCTAATGCCAGCTTATCCATGCTAGTTGCTAGCCTCTTTGATGCTAATGCCAGCTTATCTAT